ACCATTGTCTCCTTCCATTCTTCCTTCCTTCCTTCCTTCCTTCCTTCCTTCCTTCCTTCCTCCCTTCCTTCCTTCCTTCCTTCCTTCATTCCTTCCTTTCTTCCTTCCTTCCTTCCTCCATTCCTCCATTTTCTCCTCCTCCTTTCCCTTAGGCTGAACATTCTTGTCCTGTTCCCCCTTTTTCTCCTCTTGCTCCCTTCTCCTACTCCCAGAATGCTATCATATCATGCAGAGGAACAGCACAGAGTCACCTTTTCTGTGCTAATTAATTTTGAATATTCACAATTACTAGACAAAACCAGTAGGAAAGAAAAGCAAAATAGTCACTTGCCTTGATATCCCTCCCTCTGCCTATCTGCCTTCTGTGTAGTCTCCCTGATCCTTCTCCTGGAGCTCCTGGAACAAATACTCTGGGTTTGTGTTGACTGAGTAACTGACATAGGCAGGTGCATTAAGTTAGATTTTGTGGTTTTACCTCCAGCCCAACAGGTAATACAGAGAACAGGGTGTGTAATCGTGACATTGAACTAGGCCTCATTTACATTGTCCAAAAGTATTCTTTGAAATCATTTTAAAGATTCACTGTTGTCATTACCTGTGTGTCAATACGAGAAAAAATGAAGAACAGAAGGGACACATTGAGGATCTGGGAGAAAATTATTATGGAACAGGGCATTTTTTAATGATTCCCTTCCAAAGATCCTTAAGTATAATCTATCTTAAGCCCATTCTTTATTTCTTTCTTTTATTCCTTTTTGCTGCTGCTTCTTGTTCTTCTCATTTTTCTTTCTTTCTTGTTGTTTCTATAGTTAACGAATTCTCTCTCTCTCTCTCTCTCTCACCATTCTAGTATTGCGATTCAGCTCAAGTCTCACATTTCCTAGGCAAGTACCATTTGAACAATGCCTCTAGCACATTCTTGGCTTGGGTGTGTGTGTGTGTGTGTGAGTGTACGCACGCATGTGCGTGTAAATTTTCACTTTCTCCCTTTATTCCTTAATTACCTCTCACCCTAACACCACTGAACCTCCTGGTAGTTATTTTGATAAACAGTTTGCTGGTTTGGATTAATTTTGGGAGTGTCTGATTTTATGACCAGCCTGGATTGTTATTCTCCTGTATTTCCTTTTGTCACTAGGCTGAAAAGCAAGTGCCATTGTGCCCAGCCAGAGTGCTTTCTCCGTAGTTTGGGATAACAGGCTTACACCACCTCACCCATTCATTGTTGAGATGGGAGTATTATGTATTTCTATGCTCAGGCTGGCTTTGAATTACAGTCTCTTAATATCTGTTTCCCAAGTGGCTAGTATTATAGTTTATGGATCCCTGACTGAATTTTAAAGCCTACTTGCACCTTTAATTTTGTATAGTTACTAATTTTAAAGTACAGAACTCAGGGTCTTCAATGGATTTAGCATTCAGTACCCGTTACTAGACACTGGAGAGTCCTGGATTCTGTGTAGCTCTTTACATTGTCACTTAATGATGTCTTATACAGGGAACTGAGCATGATGCCTCAAGACACAGGGACTGAGAGCCTGAGGTATTTCAGATGCTCACAAATCCCTGCCAGCAGGGAGGCTTACTGGATTCCACCCATAAAGTAGTACTTTATGGAACTTGGAGGAAAGGAGCTAGACCTACTCAGGATCCCATGATTTTTTCAACTCCCTGACTCCACAAAAGCAAGCAGAAAACTCAGAGCCAGTAACAGCTTTCTCCTTAGGGGTCCAAAATCCCAAAATGTTTGGTAAACACCTCTATCTTTATGCTGACTCATTTTTTTTTGTTTGAATGACAAGAAATGTTTGTTTACTTACAAACGAAGATATCTACATACTTATACTCCCAGCCCAAAGCTGATGTTCAAACCTCAATAGCTCTCTCCTATTGCATCCATGTTTCCTTATTCACTAACTTCCCTTGTAAAACCTGCATTATTTTGTTGGAATTATTTAAAATTGTATCATTTTTGTTTTATATTATTATACCTGGTAAAAATCATACTACACAGCAATTGAGAGGATGGAATACTTTATCATTCACAAATATTTCCTTTCTAAATATTAGTCTATCCTCTGGTTTGATTCAAGAAATGCAGATTTGAGATGTTATAACTTGCATTCAATTTTTTTATGCATGTACTGGTATTGGGAAATGCAAATGTTTTTAACTTCTGAAACTAATGTCATTTAAAATTGTGAAAACAGGGCTGGGAAGGTGGCTCAGTGGTAGAGTGCTTGCCTTGCACAGCTGAGGCCCTGGGTTTTATTCCTCAGCACCACATAAGCTGAAAAAGCCAGAAGTGGAGCTCTGGCTCAAGTAGCAGAGAGCTAGCCTTGAGCTAAAGAGCTAAGGGACAGTGCCAGGCCCAGAGTTCAGGCCCCACAACAACCAAAACTAAATAAAACTAAATAAAAAATGTGAAGACAGAATGGGTAGCACTATGAGGAATTCCTACAAATGCTGTACAGGAGGCTCCTGGTGGTAATCTTACCTGTTCCAGAAAGGAAGATGCAGAAGATCATACTTCAAGGCCCACCCAGACAGATAAGCTAAGACATTCTAACTGCAATTAAACATCAAAAAGCTGGACTGGAGACATGGCTCAAGTGGTAGACCACCGGCCAATCAATCAAGCAAGGATGAAGACCCCTGAATTCAAACCTTTGTACTTACTTCAAGTTACTTCGTCTCCCATTGTGGGTGATACTGCAAGCATAACGTGGTTCAGTGAGGAATTAGGATCACCAGAGCCTGCTAGGCTGGAGTTTTTGTGCCAGTTTTCACAAGTGTGGCAGTGTGAAAACACTATGTGAGTCACTACAGCAGGCCTGCTGGGGAGTAATGGCAGGGTTCACTGCAGGCACAGGTGATGTTGTGGCCACATGTCCTGACTGCATGATGTTGTCACGAGGACATCATAGTGCCACCAAATGAGGCCAGACAGACAACCAAACAGGTTTGGGGCATATCCAGTGATATTCATGGATATCATAGCTCTGGGGAACCAATTCCCTTGCACCTCCTAAAAAATTGGATTTAAGGGGAGTCAGGAATCCTCATACTTCTGTTGAATGTTGACTTTTACATTTAATCTAAAGCTCTTTCTATGGCTATTTGCATTCTCTGCAAACTGTTTATTTAAATAGACCCTTTATTATACTTCTGATTCACACCCAAACCTATGGAACCCATCAACAAAAGAAAAGATGGACAAATCATTTAATTTTGATGAATTCATTTTAAATTGTATTTATTAATAAAGATGGGGGCTTTATTTGAAATAAGGAAAGATAGTGGTAGTGCAATGAATAATGCAATAAGTACCACTTGTGAGGAAACAGCTTTTCATCTTTCAGGATCTAGGACTTCTGAAACATGGTCCAGCTCTTTGCTGAGTCAAGCTAGTTTTCAAACAAGAGAAGGTGACTAAAGAGTCATTAATGAGTCTCCACTGGAACATCCTACTAAAGCAATCAAGCTGTAGGTAGAGAAGACTTGTGTTAAGAGAAAGTAAAATAAACTTTCAGTCTTATTAGAAAGCTGGACCTGTCTCGAGTCCTGTTACAGAGTTTGATCTTCTACATTTAAAATTTCTGCCTTTGGCAGCCTGTAGGTGCTTCAGAGTTGGAAAGTGAGCGTTTGGTGGATTTTTTAAATCTCAAGTGTCCTGTATTTGATGAGTCACCGTTTGCCATTGTGGCAGAGGTTGCAGGAATGGCTTGGTTCAGGGATGAATTAGGGTCACGAGAGCCGGTTTGTCTGGAGATTTTCTTGCCAGTTTTCTTCCGTCTGGTAGTATTAAGAACACTGTGTGAGTCGTTACCAGAGGTGTGCTGGGGAGTAATGGCAGGGTTCACTGCAGGCACAGGCATGGACATGGCCATATGTCCTGTTTGCATGTTGGTGTCATTAGGTGGTTGCATTGTAGGCACACTTAGGTCAATAATTGGTGCTTGCAAAGGTACTAGTTGGCTCAGAGACAAACTGTCAGGTTGTCCATTGAAGACCCCGACTGTCGGGTTTGGAAGGGCACCAGCACTAGATGGATAGCCAGTGTGTGGGCCTGGCCCCGGCATGTGCTGGGATTGTATAAATTGACTGTGGGAGTCTTGGATGCTGGAAATAATGCCACCGTGTGGCACATGGGCAGGAGCAGAATGGTACTGGTTCACTACAGAGAGGTTTGTCAAGACGGTTGGAGATGGAAAGATCGAAGCCTCTGAGGGATGCGTTATATCCATCATGTTATCGTCATCGTCCATGGACGGTTTTAGTGGTGGGGAAGAGCCACTTCTGTGAACAATGACAACTGCTTGGTCCATGTTGGGAAGGACCGGAGGAGCAGAAGTTATCGGAATAGAGGGATTGTACATTTGATGTACAACAGGGATCACATTGACGGAGTCATTAGGTGGTTGCATTGTAGGCACAGTTAGGTCAACAACTGGTGCTTGTAAGGGGACTGGTTGGCTCAGAGAGAAATTATTGTCAGGTTGCCCACTGAAAACCCCAAGAGTGGGGTGTGGAAGGGCACCAGCACTAGATGCATGGCCAGTATTTGGACTTGGCCCCTGCATGTGCTGGGATTGCATAAACTGATTGTAGGAGTCCTGATTGCTAATAATAGTGTCACTCTGTAGCACATGGGCAGGAGCAGGATGGGCCTGGTTCACTACAGAGAGGTTGGTTGTCAAGATGGGAGGAGATGGAAAGATCGAAGCCTCTGATGGATGCGTTATATCCATCATGTTATCGTCATCGTCCATGGATGGTTTTAGTGGTGGGGAAGCGCCACTTCTGTGAACAATGACAACTGCTTGATCCATGTTGGGAAGGACCGGAGGAGCAGAAGATATCGGAATAGAGGGATTGTACATTTGATGTACAACAGGGATCACATTGACAGAGTCATTAGGTGGTTGCATTGTAGGCACAGTTAGGTCAACAACTGGTGCTTGTAAGGGGACTGGCTGGCTCAGAGAGAAATTGTCGGATTACCCACTGAAAACCCCTAGTGTGGGGTCTGGAAGGGCACTAGCACTAGGTGGATAGCCAGTATTTGTTGCAGGAGTGGCCTGGTTCAGGAATGAATTAGTGTCACGAGTGCCTGTGCGTCTGGAGATTTTCTTGCCAGGAGTTTTCTGTCTGGCAGTGTTGCAAACCCCAGAAGAGTCACTACAAGAGGTGTGCTGGGGAGTGATATCAATGTTCACTGCGGGCACAGGCATTGGCATGGCCATCTGTCCTGCTTGCAGGTTGGTGTCACTAGTCACAGTTAGGTCAATAATTGGTGCTTGCAAAGGTACTGGTTGGCTAAGAGACAAACTGTCAGGTTGTCCATTGAAGACCCCGACGGTGGGGTGTGGAAGGGCCCCAGCACTAGATGCATGGCCAGTGTGTGGGCTTGGCCCCGGCATGTGCTGAGACGGTATAAACTGATAGTGGTAGTTCTGCATGCTAGAAATAACGTCACTGTGTGGCACATAGGCAGAAGCGGGATGGGCCTGGTTCACAGCAGAGAGGTGGTGTGTCAAGATGGGAGGAGATGGAAAGATCGAAGCCTCTGAAGGATGTGTTATATCCTTCATATGATGATTGTCCATGGATAATTTCATTGGTGGGGAAGAGACATTTCCATGCATAAGGACAGCTGCTTGGTCCATGTTGGGATGGACCAGAGGAGCAGAAGATATTGGTAGAGAAGGATTGTGCACTTGATGCACAAGAGGGATCACATTGACAGAGTCATTAGGTGGTTGCATTGTAGGCACGGTTAGGTCAATAACTGGTGTTTGTAAGGGCACTGGTTGGCTCCGAGAGAAATTGTCGGATTGCCCACTGAAAATTCCAAGTGTGGGGTCTGGAAGGGCACTAGCACTAGGTGGATAGCCAGTATTTGTTGCAGGAGTGGCTTGGTTCAGGGATGAATTAGTGCCATGAGAGCCTGTGCGTCTGGAGATTTTCTTGCCAGGAGTTTTCTGTCTGGCAGTGTTGCAAACACCGTAAGAATCACTACAAGAGGTGTGCTGTGGTGTATTATCAGCATTCACTGCAGGCACAGGCAAGGACATGGCCATATGTCCTGTTTGTATGTTGGTGTCATTAGGTGGTTGCATTGTAGGCACAGATAAGTCAATAATTGGTGTTTGCAATGGTACTGGTTGGCTCTGAGACAAACTGTCAGATTGTCCATTGAAGACCCCAGTGGTGGGGTATGGAAGGGCACCAGCACTAGATGCATGGCCAGTGTGTGGCCTTGGCCCCGGCATGTGCTGGGATTGTATAAACTGATTGTAGGAGTTTTGTTGGTTAGAAATAATGTCACTGTGTGGCACATGGGCAGGAGCAGGATGGGCCTGGTTCACTACAGAGAGGTTGTTTGTCAAGATCGGAGGAGATGGAAACATAAATGCCTCTGAAGGAGGTGTTGTATCCATCATGTTATCGTCATCGTCCATGGATAATTTCATTGGTGGGGAAGAGCCACTTCCGTGAGTAAGGACAACTGCTTGGTCCATGTTGGGAAGGACCGGAGGAGCAGAAGATAGCGGAAGAGAGGGATTGTGCATCTGCTGCACAAGGGGGATCACATTGACGGAGTCATTAGGTGGTGGCATTGTAGGCGCGGTTAGGTCAATAACTGGTGTTTGTAAGGGGACTGGTTGGCTGAGAGAGTAATTATTATCAGGTAGTCCACTGAAAACCCCAAGTGTGGGGTGTGGAAGGGCACTAGCACTAGATGCATGGTCAGTATTTGGGCTGGGTCCCCGCATGTGCTGAGACTGTATAAACCGATTGTGGGGGTCTTGCTTGCTGGAAATAGAGTCACTGTGTGACATTGTGTGCTGCGGTTGCACAACAGAGATGGCATTGGTGGAATAGTGATCATTTTGAGGGACCAAGGTTTGGGAAGAACAGGACCCCCTGGTAGGAGGTAGGTTGGTGGGGGCTGGCCCCATCCCAAGTTGCCCCTGGTACAGACTGCAGGGGATTTGGGGAACTGGATAGGTATAGGGTGTTGCAGGGGCAGTGGGGTCTGGGCCCACGGTGACATGGCCCTGAGGCGGACTGCAGAGCGCCTGGGGTACTGGTGGGCTGGTGGGCATTGGCCCATTCGGCAAGTGTCCTGGTTGCAGGCCACAGGGGGCCTGAGGTATTGGTTGTGGGGGAGGTATAGGTGGGCCGCTGGGTACGGGCCCATTCATAAAGTTTCCCTGGTGCAGGCTATTGGGAGCCTGCGGCAATGCACAGGAGTCAGTGGTGGAGACTTGGGGAGATGAGTAAATGACGGCTGCAGATGGTGGTGTGGTATCCATCTGAACAATATCGTCATCTGTGGCCGGCTGCAGGCTCACATGACAGGATAGGCTGGGGGCGGCTGCAACCATATCAGTGGTGGTAGTGTTCATGGGAAGTGGGACTACAGGGAGGGTGGGGAAGGGAAGAGGACGGGAATCAGGAGAAGTAGCAGTGTTAGATTCCTTTGTGCAGGGGAGAATGGAATGATCAGGAAGAGCAAGTTTGGAGGAGAGAGAAGTGGTAGGGGTTGCAGCTCTCATTAAAGGGGCATGGTTTCCATTTTTATCATTTAGAACCCCCAGTTGAGAGGCTGGGGTACCAAAAGGAAGAGAGTCTGCAGGAGGAGCCAAAGAGGAAATGAGGATTTTAGGTGCCAGACCCTCGTTAGATTTTGATGAGGATGCTGGCACAATGTTGGCCCCAGCAGCCTGCTCTTCCACATTAGCGGTGCTGAGAAGAGCTGGGATGTTTAAAGTGCAGGCAGGCAGGGTCACGAAGACATAAGTCTCTACAACAGGTGGAGGAACAGAAGAGGCAGTGTTGATGTCACTGCCATCTGTCACTTCTGTTCTCCCTGAGCATTTTGTCTTACAGATTTTACTATGAGTAGACTGAGTGGTGTTACAAATGTCCACGTCTTTCTGCATGTCCATGCATGGAAGTTTAGGAGGAGGGGGAAGCTCACTGCGACCCCACTGTACGGGCACTGGCACAATCTCTGGCAAAGGCAGAGCTGATGGCAATGCTGCTTTCCTTTTGGATGCTCTGTGAGCTGCCAGATTTGGGGTAGCAGGGCTTGCTGGTGGTCTAGCTGTGGGTGTTTCAACTGCCACCCCCTTCACTGACTCCAGGGAGTCCCGTGGTGGACGAGCTTTGGGCTTTACACCCACTGCCCCCTTCGCTGACTCCTGAGAGTCTGGTAGATGAGCTCTGGGCTTTTCACTGTCCACCATCTTCGCTGACGCTTGGGAGTCTTGTGTTGGATAAGCTTTGAGCTTTTTACCCACTACCCCCTTCGCTGACTCCTGGGAGTCTGGTGGTGGACGAGCTTTGGGCTTTTCACTGTCTACCCCCTTCGCTGACTGCTGGGAGTCTGGTGGTGGACTTGCGGTGGGCTTTTTGCCCTCCACCACCTTACCTGACTCCTGGGAACGTGAGCCGTTCGGGGGTTGGTTTTCACCCAGATTGTCCGCGGTGGTGTTTTGCGAGCTGGGAATGTCACGGCCATGAGATTGGGTACCTAGAGGAGACACAAGCACCTTTTTGTTCCTTTCCACACTGGGAAGAGTTCCCTGCTAGGGAGTAAGGCAGCATCCATTGAGAGTAAGTCTCTCCTGACGGTCACAGGACGGCATGGTGCCGTTGCTCCGTTGCTAGGTCGTCCCCTCCCACTGGCCTGTCCCTGATGGTCTCCCTGAATTTTGAACTCACCCTCTTGGCCTTCGAACTCGTCGCTGTTGGAGTCGGGAAGAGGGACGTCCCACGGCATCCTGGGCACCACAAGATGATTGCGCGGTCTGGGTGTTGCAATTCGGGCTGTGGACTCGAGCTGACCCGAAGGGGTGCTTGGGCTGCTGGGGGTTTCCAACCCCGAGTCTCCAGCTGGCAGCGGAGGCGCAGGTCTTTTTGGCGATCGCTCTGGAGACGCCGGAGGGCCCTGCACCGGGGTGGTGTCCGAGGCCTCCGGCTCAGGGCACCTCCTCTTGGGGGCCCTGGGTGGACCGGCTGGTGGCGGCACCGGCCTGGGACCCGTCCTGACCTTCCTACAGATGGGACAGCGTGCAGGCTCGGGTCCTGCGCTGCGACCCCACCTCGGGAAGGTGAGGCCGGGCAGCTCATCATACAATTTACTGAGAACGTTTGCCATGACGGGCAAATATGTGCGAATTATCAGCTATTAGAGGGAGAAGGGGCGGCAGCGATCCTTCTCCTCGGGTCGCTGAGGACGCACTGCCCAGCCTGGCCTCTGTGACATCACCTGCGCATTCCACAGACCAAGTGCGCCGCACGCGGAGGGCGCGCGGCAGGCTCCAAGTCCCGTTTGAACCCCACATTCTTCTGATGGTCACGCAGATGCTAGTGGCCCAGGCAGCCCCTGGACCCAGCATGAATGGGAGAAGCTCTCCATTCATCCACCTTCTTGCAATCCTAGTATCTGAGTTACTGTCTATTTCCATAGTCCATCCAGGACCCTCTTCCACATTTCTTATCTACGGTGAGCACAAGCACTGGTCCACAGGCATCATCTCCTCACATCAGGCTCCAGGGCACCAACTGTCAGCACAGCTTCATGCCCCTCTCTCTTGGACTTGAGTCTTGCACACTAAATGCATTTCGTGTAGGTGGAGGAATTCAACGGTGTCGTGGACTTCCTGTGGGCTTTTTGCCCCCCACCACCTTACATGATCCCTGGGAGTTTGATCAGTCTGGGAGTTGGTTTTCACCCAACCTGTCCTTGGCACAGCTTTGGGAGCTGGGGATCTCACAGGGTAACTACAGGAGACACCAGTATCTTTCAACATTGGGAAGATTTCCCTGCTGGGAAGTAGGGGAGCATCCACTGCAAGTGAAGGCTCTCCTCATGGATAGATTGTATACGATCTCTTTGGATGTGTGCTAAAGAAATTCAGCAGCCTGTTATTCCATATAAATACCAAGCTAGTTTTCTGGTCTTTATGGAAGGTGTGGACAAATCACACAACTCATTGGTTTGCTAGCAAAGAATGGAACCTAATTTGCACTTTATGAGACACCAGTTGGGTGTACTGTTCAAGAACATTAGGGTCAAGTTAATATAAGTTTAGATTTCCTTATGCCCAAGACCAGAGTTCTCCTACTGGAGGTATGGACAAGGGATATATACATAGGATGATTGAAAGAGTTATAATACAATATCACTTGTAATATAAGGTAGTGATAAACAGATGAGAAAACATACATTCATCTTTTGGGATTCAGGCTGCTCATAGATGGCATCCCACAAGTGTTAATTAAATTATTATCGATTTTATTATTGTATGCTAGTCAATCTGCTAAGAATTTTACGTACGTTACTTAACCCATTCCTCAGTAATTTCAATAGGTTTGCACAACTGCAGTTGTAATTTTACAAAGATGAAAGACGAGGCGCATATATTTTTCTAGGGAAATGAGGAAGGTACTTCTGAGCTAGCTTCTTATATATAGCCACTGTGTATCCAAAGCCAGGGCTGGCAGATCTTAGAGCTAGATTCTCGTTTGTGAACAAGAGAAATAGTTAGAAAACATGGTTCTGTTTTATGCCAGACTGCCTAGGAAACTTCAAGCCCTTGAACTTTTTATTATTGGTTTACACATTTCCCTAACCATAAGGATTGTCTTTATTTCCATTGCGTTTAATACTTTACATGAATACTTTTCTGTACCCACCCCAATGTCTTCCTTCCCTGTTTGCACCATAAGAAATTTATTAAAGTATGTGAGAAAAATATACACGGCAAATATATGTTACCCCAAGCAAAAAAAAAACAACAGATTTTAAAACTCTTCACTCTATGCCTCTCTTCTGTTTAACTAATTATTTATAATAACCAAGTTATCGAGTCAGTCCGTATGCCTATCAACAAATGAATGGATAAAGAAAAGACAGTCTATATAATGTAGTTTTATTCAGCCCTAAAATAGAACAAAACTATGTTTTCTGCAGAAAAATGAACAGATCTTGAATGTTTTCTCTCATATATGGAATTGGATTTTAAAATAAAAAAGGTGTATCAAGTGCCAGTGGTTTATACCTCTAATCCTAGCTACTTAGGAAGTTGAGATCTGAAGATTGTAGTTCAAAACCAGCCAGAACAGGAAAGCCTGTGAGACCCTTATCTCCAATGAACTACTGAGAAAGGAAAGTGGAGCTGTGGCTCATGTGGTAGATTACTAGTCTTGAGCAGAACAGCTCAAGGATACTGGCTAGGCCTTGAATTACAGCTCCAGGACCAGCACACGTACACACGAATGAGCAATCATGTGAACACACACACAGATATTACAAAAGTGTGAGAGGTTATCTTAAGGAATAAAAGTGCCATAAAGAAACTTGCTGTATTAGATAATTTATAATAATAATAAGTAATCAAAATCAAAATGAATGCATCTGACATAGTATTTTAAAATTTTTAATAAATACAGATCTACTTAGAGATCAAAGCTGTTAATTTACGATAAAAAAGAATGATAATTATCAAACAGAAAGATACTGAACCTAGGAAGTTCTTAAGTGACTATATGATAAGACCCTTACTTATCACCAGATAATGAGGCATCCAGATCCAATTGTCACTCTTCCTCAGAGAGGTCGTGCGAGCTATGTCTGGGCAGTTTAGGGCATCATTTGATCACAATACACAGGACTCTTTTGCAGGGAGCAGAAACTTAAGCGAAGTTATGCGCCTGTTGCAAATTTGTATCTTAGCAACATGCACATTTTAAATAAATAAATGATTCTCCAAATAAGTTTATTCACCGAGGAGAGATTTCAGGTTCTTGTCTGTCGGTCTAAATAGCACTTGATGTTCTGTTCCTTCTGTGTGGAATCTATAAACCACGCAAACTTTCTTCCCCCATTGTTAAATTATTCTCACAAGTGGAAAATGCTTTGCTTTCCGGCAATGGTGAAACAGTGCTTTTCAAATTTCTCCAGGGTTATTAGAGAAACAATGTCAGGGATGAGAGTTTGATTTAAAGGGATGAATGTTTGTCAGACAGCATTTCTGAATCCCCTGCTAGAACACTGAATTGGCCAAGGAGATGTTTTAATTTCATTTCCAGTCGTGTCCTAACTCGAGTGTTTCTATTAAAGATCTTGGAGTTAAGTGGGACAGGGATGTTGGCAGACAGAAGGAAAGGGAAAATTATGATACAAGACAGAACATTCAATAAATTTTATGTACATAATTACATGAGAAATTGTTTTGTTGAACCAATGAAATCAGGCAAAGTTCCAAGAAGCCTCTGTGGAATGTTGAATGTCTATTTTCACTCACATCTACCCATACTTCACTTCTGTTTTCCATGCTCTGTGACAAGATTCACAAGCTATAGACTTTATTTTTATACAAATACCTCTTCTGCATGGAGGTATTTCTCATTATCTGTAGACCAGAATCCTGAGTTTGAGCAACTCTTTCCTAAGTAGGGTAGCTCATTTTCATCGTGGCAATGTTCAACTTCCCAAAATGTCTCTTATAGAAGCTTTCCTTGACTTCTTCCATTCTACCTAGAAGTCAGGTAGCTCTTCTTCTATAACCTGTTACAACTCTCCACAGCCCCAAAGTTACATGTTTGCATGTCCATTTACCGTCTAACTATGAACTTCTTAAGGCAGAACATATGTTTTATTTAGACTTTAAAAAAACCCTATTGATTGAGATAATGTTGTGTTGAGAAGTGTTCTTTGATGGATAGATGGCTGCTCTCTGGGTGATAAAAGAGTTAGACATGAGGGAAATAATCTCATCTGTAAGGTGCACAAGGTACATATTCACTACTTAAGGAGATAGGTAAGTAGAAAAAGCAACTGATTTTGAGGCAAAAAAAATTGGGCTTAGATAGGTATTGTACTACTTATTGGTTGTTTAGTCTTGCTTTGATTGTTTATCTTAGACCATTACAAACATGGTTAAGTTTCATTAAGCTTATATCCAAGGATTTTTGATATGGTTTGGTCACTTATAAAAATGTATAAAATGGCATCTATTATTTCTACTATGCATTGATCTATGCGTCTTAAAACATTTTCCTTTTTCTGAATAAAAAATATGTTAAAGACCTCTACACACACAAACATGTATAGGCATTTCTACCTCAGCACAAACTTTCACACAGGTAGTTGATTTATCACACAGGTAGTTGATTTATCACACACGTGTATGCAATATTCCCACAAGACAAACACAAAATAATCAATACAAAATGCCCATTGTCCTTAAAAATACCAATTCTGACCAATTTTTGCTTGTTTTTGATAGGACATAGAAAGGGTTCCTAATAGTATTAAATAATTACATTGCTTTATATGATTTGTTATGTACCAGATGCTGTGTAAAATATTTTGTATATATTAAGTTTATTTGCTATAAGGTTACAATATATAGGACTAGCATTTGCGTTATTTAACAGAGGGAAAAACTTACGCACAATGTAATTAAAAACTGTTTCGAGGGCAGGCAGCTAGGGAATAGGACAACTTGGTAAGTTCATTTCAGCAGCAATGACATAAGAATATCCTCATGAAACAGGTGGTTAGACAGTATATTCCAAATTTCATAAGCTAGATATCTTGGAAAGGAAGTGTAACTTCTAGAAGCATACTTTCAAGGTCTTGTTTTGTTTGTATAAAATGGTATTTTGAAGTCCTTTTATAAGGAAGTGTCCTTATTTACAACTATGGTCTTTTCAGGGATAATTTGTTTTAATTATAGTGGGCTCCCACAGATGTAGGATGGATTCTAAATTTCATGTGATGGATGTCCTCATAAGAGGAGACAGGGAAGACATACAGAGGGAAGATACTTGAACACTATACGAATGGGTCTCTGCTTTGCAGCACCCATGTTCATGGTTTTCTTTAGAAGCCCAGGAAATCAGAGTGCCTGGGTAAGCAATGGAAGCGAGTTAACATGAACTCCATTCTCTTTGTAAGCCTGGAGAACTATGTCTTAACAGCTAATGTGCTGTTTTTAGCAACTGTGCCCCTTGCTTTTCCTGCCATCCACCCAGGAGGAATCTAGAGATGATAAAAACTGTGGCCAAAGAGAGCTTCATTTTCTCCTTCTCCATGTAGCACATTTCTCCCACTAGTTCTCCCTCTGTGGCTAATAAATCACAAAGTTG